ACTTGATTGCAAAAGTGAAAAAAGTTAGGGACCGAATTGAGAAAAAAATGAAAAGCTCAGACCTTTACAGTAATTAAGCCTTTTTTCGTGGGTATCAGATCGCCTTTTCACTCTGTAAATATCAGGGGCCATTTCTATCCGTCATCGTCACTGTTTTTCTTCTCCAAAATGGCTTTCACCAATCTCTCTCCTTTCTCCGCTAAATCCCTTCTCAGCCACCATCACCGCCGCTCCTATCACGGCCCCAAAATCGTCGTTAGACCAATCACCGCCGTCCATTCAATCGACCCTTCCAAGTTCACCCAATCACCGGCCTCGGCCACCACTCCATCAGTGTCCTCAAAATGGAGTCTCGACAGTTGGAAAAATATGAAAGCACTGCAGCTCCCCGAGTATCCAGATCAAAACGAGCTAGAATCTGTCCTTGAAACCTTATCCACCTTTCCTCCCATTGTGTTCGCTGGGGAGGCACGGAAATTGGAGGAGAAGATCGGCCAAGCTGCAATGGGGAATGCTTTTTTACTTCAAGGTGGTGATTGCGCAGAGAGTTTTAAGGAATTTAATGCTAATAATATTCGCGATACCTTCAGGGTCTTACTTCAGATGAGCGTTGTCCTCATGTTTGGCGGCCAAATGCCTGTCATCAAGGTTTTCTTTTTTTGCCTTCTTACGTCGTGATTTCTCTTATTTTGCTTTTGTTCCTCTTTTATTTCCTCAAATTTCTTCGGTGATTTTGTGAGATTTTATGGAAAGTTGAGCTGGAATTTTGGGTATGATTTGATGGAGATATAGAACTTGTTCTTAAGCGTGAAACTGCAATATACAAAAAGTGCAGAAAGGCTAAATTACAGAGTGACTTTACTTTTCCTTTTTCTTATTATGTGTAGATAGTGGAATTGTATTAGAGGTTATCCACAGTTGAGAATTTACACTAAATATGAATTATAATGGTTAAAATAATGGGCAGGAAAGGAAAGAAAAGGAAAAAATGAGCTTAGAAAATGAAGGAATGGTGTTTTTCCTTTCCAATTTGGAGAATGAAAAAAAAATGAAATTTTTAGAAAAAGTGAGAGATAATCACCAGTTACTAGCACT